TTTTTGGAAAGGAGGTTCTTAATAAAACTATTGCTCCAAAAGGTCCCGTGAGTAGGGGGGGGTGCACTGTGTTTTTGATTTTGTATTCTTGTATTTGTTTTGGATTTTTTTTAAAAAAGGAGATGAGAGTGGAATTGAATATCCTGTCGCTGATTTCTTCTCTCCTGCTTTCAGGACCCGGGCAACATGCCAAGACCGATGGGCTTCAGCGACCTGGGTTTTTGTCCTTTGTACGTGCAGGCGGAGAACATCCCGGAGGTGGGCGGAGACCGTGCTGACCTCCCCCAGCCAGGTCACCCGGCCAGCGACCCTCTCCCGGATCCAGCAGCCCCCGCGGCCGCTCCCGCCGTCCCCTGCACCGAGGACTACGTCGGCGAGCACGGGTTTGAGCTGGCTTTCGAGACGTCCGGCATGGCGAAATCCGTCACGTGCACAGTACGGAGTTGGGGGAGGAGCCGGCGGGCACATGCCGGGTGGGGAGGTTGGAGCAGCCCCCGTTGGAAAAATAGATGGCGTCTTCATCTCTCTGTTGATGCCATTCCTCTCCCGATTTTCTCCAGTGAGTTAGGCAGCTTCCGACCCTCTCCTCTCCACCTTCTCTTCCCTGTGAGTTGGGCAAGGCTACCGGAAAGAGAGTGGCGGTCCTGTGGAGTTCGTAGCAGGACTTGAACTCGGGTCTCCTGAGCCTCAGTTTGCCGCTGCGCCACCTGTGGAGTTCGTAGCAGGACTTGAACTCAGGTCTCCTGAACCTCAGTTAGCCGCTGCGCCACTCATTTGCAGTGGTGCCTCGCTTAACGATTGCCCCGCTCTACGACGAAATCGCTTGACGATTAGGTTTTTGCGATCGCAAAACGATGTTTTAAATGGGTTTTTCCGTTTAACGATGATCGGTTCCGTACTTCGGGAACCGATTATTGCTCTACGACAATCAAAAACAGCTGATCACCGGGTTTCAAAATGGCCGCTGGCTGCTTAAAATGGCTCCTCGCTGTGTTTTTGGATGGATTCCTCACTTTACAGGCAGCGCAAATGGCCGCCCCTATGGAGGATCTTTGCTGGACGGTGAGTTTTCAGCCCATTAGAACGCATGGAGGGGTTTTCAATGTGTTTCAGTAGGCTTTTTTATTTAGCTTCACGACGTTTTCGCTTTACAGCGATTTCGCTGGAAAGAATTGACATCGTTAAGCGAGGCACCACTGTACATCCTTCCCCTCCCAGCTTTTTCCTTCATCCCTACAAGCGAGAGTTCTCGGGTTTCGTTGGCTGGGTTTGCCCTGCATGTTTATTTGACGCACCGGAGGTAGGGTTTATCCTTCCCTTTTAAATAGGATGACTTCTCCTATTCTAGATGTGGCCCCTTTAAAAAAAATCTCTAGTAGGGCTGGACCGCTTTAGATTTCAGGAGGAGTTTGCAGGATGAAGCCCTCTCTCCGCCAGAAACCAGTCCGTCCGTCCTGGCGCATAACAAGTGATGGGCTGGAAAAGAAGAGGGGTTTTTCCAGCCAAAGCTTTTCCTTTGGGGTGTTCATTATTCTATATTTGCTAGAATGTATTGTTGTGGATAAGGAGTGCTGAGCTTGCAACCCTGCCGGGTAGATTTTTTGGGGGGGAAGAATTAGGACCAAATCCTTTTCCACGATGTGGCTTAAAAGGACGACGGCAGGTGAATGTCCCTGCTCTGTGTCGTCGTTCATGGGTCTGGGGGTCAAAATGGTAGCGTTCGAGCCAGAAGTCGGAGCATTGACTTTCGTTTGCCGTCCAGTCTGAAGAGATAAAAGTTTCGGAGCCCTTTGTTCAACTTGGCAGCTTGTTTTCCAGGAGAGGATTTTTAGAAGCGTGTTGTTGGAAAGTTGTCAATGACTTTATTGCCTGGACTCCGTAGAGCTGGGTGGTTTTTTAGACCAGGAGCTTCTCTCTGCTAAGAGGGCGCTTGGCAAAGAAAATAATCCAGTCCCACCCATTGCAGAAGCAGGGCAGAATTCTTTCAGTGATTTAATTTAATTTAATTTCCCGTCAGCAGCTTTCTCAAAGCACAGAGTTTGGGAAGCCCTTGGGATATAGGCTCCCTGGGGAAAGAGCAATATTATGGTCTGCATTGGGCTTTTGTTGTGGTGGTGATTCTGAGGGTTTTCACTGAGCCGCCTGTGTTCCTGGTATTTCCACTTTTACTTATGGATAAATATGTTGGTATGATGTTGTTCTTACACGTTTGTAAATGGTACTAGCAGTATCCCAGTAAATAGGCCAGTACTGTAGATCGGTATGTAGTTTTAGAAAAAAGCACTGTATTTTTTCTGTATATAAGACTATACTTTTGTCTAAAATGTTTAGACTAAAAATTGAGGGTCATCTTATACATGGAAGTAAGCGAGGAGAGAACAAAAACAAGTGGCGGAGAAAGTATTTAGACAATAAAGTACTGTTTAATTATATAGTTATATCAACGTTAAGGTATTTTTGAAGCATGAGATTGCTCTGGTAGACTAATCTGATTTTATTTTATTCCCATTGTGTGCAACTCAGAAAACCTATTGTGTGCAACAACAAAAAAAGCAGACAACTTTCACCAGTTTGGACTGAAGGGTTTATTCTGTCAAACTTAGCCGCCTAGAGTGGTCGTATAGACCAGATGGGCGGGATACAAATCAAATCAAATCAAATAAATAAATGAATCAGGGATCAAAGTGATCCTGCAGTGCTTTGACCCCTTTTCCCCTACACTTGCTAAGCCCCACTTAGATTTCTTAATTTTGGATTAGAAAAGTGTGGGGGGGTGTCTTATACATGGGGGTGTCTTTTACATGGAAAAATACGGGTATATCTTTTCTGTCGGATGGTGTCTGTCTGCTGGCATGGTTTGGTGGTTTTTAAGTGATGCAAAAGAAGCAAGCCCGCAGTGTCTTTTTCAGTTGGATACAGTGGACCCTCTATTACGGAATTAATCTGTATTGGAACGGTGGCTGCAGGTCGAAAAGTCTGTAGGTCGAGTCTCCATTGACCTATAATGCATTGAAAACTGATTAATCCCGTAACTGGCTGTTTTTGTTCCATTTTTGTTCCATTTTGTTTTTTTTCTGGTCTGTAGGTCGATTCTCCGGCTGCAAGTCGAACCTAAATTTTGCAGCCAGAGAAGTCTGTAACTCGAAAAGTCTGTAAGTCGAGCCGTCTGTAAGTCGAGGGTCCACTGTAATTGCACGTGTATGCCAACGAACAAGAGCAAATTCAGTGGAGGGCAAAAAGGAAGATCAGGAGATGGGAAACCAAGCCCTAGGAGGAAAGACGGAAAGAACTGGGCACGCTTAGCCTTGAGGAAAGAAGACTCTGGGGGGGAGACAGGAGCGCACTTTTGAGCCGTCTGTAAGTCGAGGGTCCACTGTAATTGCACGTTTATGCCAACAAACAAGAGCAAGTTCATAGGAGGGCAAAAAGGAAGATTAGGAGATGGGAAACCAAGCCCTAGGAAGAAAGATGGAAAGAACTGGGCACATTTAGCCTTGAGGAAAGAAGACTCTGGGGGGGAGACAGGAGCGCACTTTTCAAAGATCTGAAAGGCTGTCCTACAGAGGAGGGCCAAGATCTGTTCTTGATCCTCTCTGGTTGCAGGACCCATAGCCATGGGCTCAAGGCGAGATGAGATGGTAAAAGAAATGTACGATTAGGTGGGCACAAAATATAGGACATAATACCCTTGAGGCAAGAAGACTCTGGGCGGGGAGGAAGGAGCGCACTTTACAAAGATCTGACAGGCTGTCCTACAGAGGAGGGGCAAGATCTGTTCTTGATCCTCTCAAGTTGCAGGACCCATAGCCATGGGCTCAAGGCGAGATGAGATGGTAAAAGAAATGTACGATTAGGTGGGCACAAAATATAGGACATAATATTGATATTGACCAATGGTTGCAAATATGGAAAAATAACACAAAGCTCACAAAGTCGGTAAATTTCAAGGAGAACATATATAAGATGTTTTATAGGTGGCATAGGACTCTGAAAAAATTATCAAAGATTTATACAGAGGTGTGAAATGTTTGTTGGAAGTGTGAAGCACAAGAGGGAAGCTTTTACCATATGTGGTGGACTTGCAAAGTAGCGAAACAGTATTGGATAGCAGTACATACTCTCTCACAAAAAATACTGAAAAACACACACCATGAATTTGAATGTAGGTACATCACCTTTTCTCCCCTGCCCCCAGGCAGCTGCATACTCATCCGTTCCACAGTTTGCTAACTGTCCTTTTTGTGGTGGGTTTTTTTTTTTTTTGGTCTGCAGCTTCTAGCATGGCTGGCTGGGGCACATGGGAGTTGTAGTCCAAAAGGCATCGTTTCTAAGCTCCTGTAACATTTACAAGCCAAGAAGATGCCCAGAGTTTGTTTCTACCTTGTTTCTCACCTTGTCGTGAGCTAACACGAATCCCAATTTTGTAGAGCCAGGATAGATCTCAAAAATATAAAAGAAAGAATTTGGCTAACTTACCGCTCGTAAGTTGGGTGGGGTCACCTCTCCTGTCTGCCACCTGTCCTCGTCTCGTGAGATCCTCTTAACCAGTAGCGTTCAAAGTGTCATTTGGTATCATTTGGCGAGCTTTTTCCCTTTCGGTAGGAACGTACCTCCCTGCAAGGTTATGGTTCAGAAAGAAAAAGGAGGAGGGAAGCGAATTTGAAATTGAATCTCCTCCGACCCCCCCCCATGACATCTCAACGCCACGCTATTCTCCCTGTTCATTTCCTCGCTCTTTGGAGGGTCTGCGGGCAAGCCCGAACATGCCGGCTTTGTCCTGTCGTGGCGGTCCGTTTCCTCCCCACCAGCGTGGCTCAGGTGCCTGTCTTAGCCGGCTGGGGCTGTAGAACAGGACTCGGGGTGTGTGTGCCAGGTGAAGGGAGCAGCTTTAATAGAGACCCCAGCCCACCCTCAAAATTAAGCGCCTTGTTCTTCCCAACGAAGGCTGGAAAGGGTAATTAATCGTTGATCAATTAGAGTGGTTGCAGGGCTCAAGGTGATGTTGAAAGAGGGACCGTTTCCCGTTTGAACTTGGAAAAGTTCTTCTCTCTGTCTCTGTGTGTCTCTTTCAACTAGGATTCCCAGTCTCCCCCCCCAAATCTGGGGATTCTAGGAGTTGTAGTCCCTTCCCCCCCCCAAAAAAACCCCCACACAACCCTTTTCCAAACTTTCCTTTAAGTAAGAGGCTGCAAAACGAAGTTTCGAGAGAGGATGGCATAGGATGTTCAAGGAGAGAAGGGTGTTGGATGCAGTTGGCAGGAAATGGAGCATAAAATGTGAGTCTTAAAGGGTGAGAGTATGGAGGGGGGGAGGGGGGTGCAGAAAATCAGGGTACACTAAGAAGCCTCCCCCACCCGGGAGCTTCCCTTCCGAATACTAACCTGGTCTCCTGTCTTTTTCTCCTTTCCTCCCATCCTTTCTCTCCCCCCCCAAAAAATGCAGTACTCACCAGATCTGAATAAGCTGTTCTGCCAACTTGCTAAGACATGCCCGGTCCATATTAAAGTGTCGGCCTCGCCGCCGGCCGACGCCGTCATCCGCACCATGGCCGTGTACAAGAAGTCTGAGCACATTGCCGATGTGGTGAAGCGCTGCCCGCACCACGAGCGATCCCCCGACTTCAAGGATGGTGAGGGGGCAGCTGGGGTGTGTGTGTGTGTGTATGCGCAGCCCTGGCGTCTGGAGAGGGGAAGAGGTGGGGTTTTAAGGCACAGGGAAGGGCTCAGCTTTCCTTCTCCCCCTCTGGGGGCACATTTCTTGTTACCAAAGGCAGTCGTTTGGCAATGGAGCACAGGGATACCTGTGGATGCTCAGATGTATTTATTCAAATATTTCTGTGCTGCCTGTGAGGGCAATGTTTGAATCCAAGAACTTGGAACTTTAAAAGCAGAACGCAAATAGATACAGAGAAGTAATGATCTTTTTTTTGCTGTGCTGCGAAAGGCAAAGAGGTTTTGACTCCTCGCTTCTGACCGAGATTCTTTCTTCCCTCCCTATTACCTTCCTGTGCCCCTCCTTCCAGTATGTGTCCTGGGTTCAAAGCCCCCTCTCAGTGTTTAAGTTCACTGCTGGACCTTGGGCCATTTACCATTTCCTGACTTCACCTTGCCCCACAGAAGCAACGGCGGTCAGCAGAACCGAGGCAAAATTGGCTGCAGGACATGCGAATTTAGCTGGCTCCAGTCAGTGAGCCCAGCTGCATAGTTTGGGCCAAGTTAGGAAACAGAAGGGAGCAAATCGTGTGCAAGGCAAATAAATCTGGAGGTTCATGCCCCCTTGGTTTTGGGTTCGGAGTTGGTGAAAAGTTGGCCTTCTGTACGATCTCAGAGGCCACCGTTAATGCCTGGGTGACTTGAAGCGGGCCGAACTCTGAACCGTTCCTGTCTAAAGCTGTCGCCCTTTCCTCTCTTCCTCCCCGACCTCGCTTTGTATCCATGGCAGGTACAGCGCCTGCTGAACATCTGATCCGAGTGGAAGCCAATCCGCAGGCTAAGTACATCTCGGACACCGCGAGCAAGCGCCACAGCGTCACCGTTCCTTACGAGCAGCCTCAGGTTATCTGGGGCTGGGGGAGGGGACGAGGGCAGGAGGAGGAGGAGGAGGAGGAGAAGGGGTTTCATCCTTCATTTATTTGTATTTCCGAACTGTTTTGATCAGAAGATTGTCACGTGGCTTCCAGGAGCAAGGCATAAAATACACACAACCTGTTGCATCAAGGAAGAGTCTTTTTAAAAACCCTTCTTTGCAAATCATCGACGGGGTTTTGCAAGTGTTTGGTCCCGTCGCTCAGCTGTTTGTGCAGTTGTATTCCTACGCTTCCGTGGTTGGTTGTAGATATAAATGGGAGGGTGCAGGGTGGAGAACGTAAGAAATAAATGTGTGTTTCTGGAGACTGGAAGCCGTGAACAGACACAAGAAAAATCCCTTCCGGAATCAACCTATGAAATTTAATTCTTCAGCTCCCCCACCACATTCACGTAAACTGAAGATCCCTCGTAAGGGTCTCGGGAGAGCCGTGCGGGATTAGGCCACGAGGTTCTCATTTCCAGCCACGTTCTTTTCACGCTGGCAGACCAGGGCCCTCTGGGAAGCTCATGAGTGGGACGTGAAGGCCACGCTTCTCTCCCTGTGGTTTGCTGCCCTCCCCAGCCCATTGTAAGGTACATTTCGCCTGGCTTTGGAGGTTCTGTTGGCCACCGTCTTGGCAAAACGCCGCTGATAGATCTCCTTCCGAGCGATTTGATTCCCCTATAGCTGCACCTCTTGCCTTCTGCGGCCCTTAAATGCATGCCGCCCCTCGAGGTCGGGGTGCTGTTGTCTTTGGTTAATTATGTAGCGTGTTTTTTCCAAAGTTAATTTCTTTCCATTCCAAAAAAGGGACACAGAATTGCGCAGAAAAGCAACTGATATTTCTTCTCTTCTGTGTGGGTTTCCCTAGATGGCTGCAGAGGTATTTAGAGGTTGCTTTTGCTGCTAATAAATAGGATTCCTTCCTTAAAACAGTCTTAAATTTCTCGTTAGCGTTGCCTGCGGTGGCAGTGAGTTCCATAGGTCAGCCTCCCCAGCGTTCTGCTGCCTTCCAGATGGGCTGGACTGCAACCCCCATCTGGAAGGCACAAATTTAAGGGAAATTGCAGTAAGTCTCAAACCTCTACACCTCTGAGAGTTTCTCCCCTAAGGTAGTTGGAGGCGGAGAGGAGGAAATTCACCCGGCACCCATACTTTTCCTGCCTGTTTTGCTTCGCAGCTGGGAACGGACAGCACCACCATCTTGTACAACTTCATGTGCAACAGCTCCTGCATGGGAGGCATGAACCGGCGCCCCATCTTGACCATCGTCACTTTGGAGACCCCTCTGTGAGTAGCACCCCCAGAACCCGCCCGCCCCTGCGTTTATGCCTGACTAGAGATCACCCTGAGTTAATGTGTGGAGTGATTGAATTTTTCATTCCCCCCCCCCTCTCTGGAAACGGAGAGTCGTGAATGAGCTTTAACAAGAGCTTGTACACCATCTCAAAGTCATCTTGCTGTTCGGAGACTGCAGTTAACAGCTCTCAAAATCTGGGTTCAGAAACCTTCATGAATTTCTTACAAATACAGTGGTGCCTCGCTTTACGATTGCCCCGCATTGCGACGAAACCGCATTACGGTGATCTTTTTGCGATGGCAATTGCGATCGCAAAACGATGGTCTGAATGGGGTTTTTTCGCTTTGCAATAATCGGTTCCCTGCTTTGGGAACCGATTTTTCGCAAAACTGTGATTTTAGAACAGCTCATCGGCTGTTTCAAAATGGCTGCCGGGTAAACAAAATGGCTCCCCGCTGTTTTCTGGCACAGGCACCGAAAATGGCCGCCCTATGGAGAATCTTCGCTGGACAGTGAGTTTCCAGCCCATTGGAACACATTGAAGGGGTTTCAGTGCGTTTCAATGGGCTTTTTATTTTCGCATTACAGCATTTTCGTTCTATGGCGATTTCGCTGGAACGAATTAACATCGTGATGCGAGGCACCACTGTCATGCTTTCTCTCTCTCTTTTTAGTGAGAGAGACAAGCTTATTTTTTAAGGACACTTGGCTTTCAGTTTGGGAGCTAGGACTCCTGGGTTTCCCAGGGAAGGAAATGAGTGTGTGCAGATGGACACGCACACACACACAAATGCACACGTACATGTGCGTGAGCAGCCCAGATGGAAGCTGCACTAGAACAAAGCACAGGGCGCCTGTTCTTCTGAGACCCGAGGGCTGGAGACGGGCTTGGCTGGGGGACACACCCTTCAACAGGAAGCAAGGATGGTCAGCAGAACCGAGGCAGAATCAGCTGCAGGACATGTAGCTTTAGCTGGCTCCAGTCAGTGAGCCCAGCCGCATAGTTTGGGCCACATTAGAAACAGAAGGGAGCAAATCATGTGCAAGGCAAATAAATCTGGGGGTTCGTACCCCTTGGTTTTGGGTTCAGAGTTGTTCTCCCTCCGCTGACCTCTGCCCACCTCCTGAAGCTAAGCTCTCGGGTTGCCCATTGGTGTGCATTCATAGCTCTGTGGCCTCGACCTCTGGCTGCGGAGCCCAGAGGTTGGGAATTCAATTCCCCCCATGGGGCTTTTTGAACCGGGGTCTGGACTCGATGATCACAAGGGTCCCTTCCAGCTCTGCTGTTCAAAGGTGGCCGTTCTTGTTCATATTCTTGTAAATACAGTGGTGCCCCACATAGCGACGATAATCCGTGCGGCAAAAATTGCTGCAAAGCGATTTCGTCGCTATGCGGATTTAAAAAGCCCATAGGAATGCATTGAAACCCCTTAAATGCGTTCCTACGGGCTTCAAACTCACCTTTGAGCGAAAATCCTCCATACGGCCGCCATTTTCGCTACCTGGTAAGCGAGGAATCCGGGCGAAAACACTGCGCCAGCCTTTTTTTTTACGCGGTGGCCATTTTGGAACTGCCGATCAGCTGTTGGAAAATCATCGCTATGCGATGATCAGTATGCAAAACAGGGTACCGATCATCGCAAAGCGATTTTTCCCTATCTAAATCATTGCAGTGCGATCGCAAAAAAACTCATCACTATGCGGATCGTCGTTAAATGAGGTGCCCGTTAAGCGAGGCACCACTGTACTATGGTGGTTCTCCTTGTTATTTTTTAATCATCAATTATGACAACAATTACAAGCAAAGCCGCCTTTTCTTCGGGTCTTCTGTTGTATTCATGCTTCCGCTCCTCTCCTGCCTCCTCCCAGGGGTATGATTCTCGGACGCCGCTCCTTTGAAGTCCGGGTTTGCGCCTGCCCCGGACGGGACCGCCGGACCGAAGAGGAAAACCTGAAGAAAACAACAAATTCCAGAAGGGAATCCAAAAAGGGTAAAAACCTGGGAGGGAGGCGCAACTTTTGGAAGGGTGGAGATCCGGGGAGTCCGGAGACGTCCCATTCCGAAGCAGGAGGAGGGGGAGAGCGGATAATGAGAACTGTAGATGAGGTGGTCCTGTCCCAAAGAAGGCTACAGGAGAGAGTGTATGCTTGCAGAACTGGCTTTTCTCGGACTATGCCACTCCCGAGGCTGAGCCCAGAGAAGTAACTGCTGGATAGCTCCGTGGTTTAGGTCTCTGGCCATGGAGCCAGAGGTTGGAAGTTCAGTTCCCCATGTGAGCTTCTTCACGATCTATAGCAGTGGCCCCCAACCTTGGGCCTCCAGATGTTCTTGGACTTCAGCTCCCAGAAATCCTGGCCAGTAGAGGGTGGTGGTGAAGGCTTCTGGGAGTTGTAGTCTAAGAACAATCTGGAGGCCCAAGGTTGGGGACCACTGATCTATAGGGTCTCTTCCAGCTCTGCAGTTCTGAGGGGAGCAGGAGGAGGACTTTACCAAGTGGAGAGAAGCAGTTTCCATCTGGGCCTGGGGGGCGACTCCAAATGGGTCAAAGAGAGATTGTAGGGCGGCCTGGCTGGATTCAGACCTTAGGAGGAAGGCCTGATTCAAATCAAACCTTCTGAGAAGGTGGAGCTAAGCCCCCCTTTCCCAAATGTTATTCAACTGTTGCACTTTTTAAAAAAGGTAGTGGGGAGTGTAAGGCCTGATTCAAATCAAACCTTCTGAGAAAGGGGAGCTAAGACCCCCTCCCCCTTTCCCACATGTTATTCAACTGTTGCACTTCTTAAAAAAGGTAGTGGGGAGTGTAACACAGAGAGAGATTGAGAGAGAAGGAAAGTAAAGCTCAAAAGAGTTATTTTTGGGGTTGCGTTTTTCCAGAATCCTACATCCCCTTGGCCAGGCTGACTGCCAAATGACTCCGTGAAACATGGTCCCCAAATTAACTTTTCCCAGAGAAGACCCAGTATTCTGGACCCACAGTGCACCTTAATGGCTGCAGTGGGGAACAGGAGCCCTAGGACAAGAGAGAGAGGTTACCTTTTGTCCGATTTCCTTTCCGCACGGTGCTAACATCCATCTTCTCTTTCCCCCCCTCCCCACTCCAGCTGTTGCACAGAGCAGCAGTTCTGAAAGCACCAAGCGGTCCTCCGCAGAAACGTCTGGCAATAACAACGAGAGCGGGCCGTACACCCTCCAGGTAATTTTTACACATGGACGTCGGCGGAAGACACCCTGGGTTTGGCGGTGTGGAGGCCCGTTTGCAGCCTGTCTTCATCCAGAGGGCGATGGAGGGAGGCGCCGGGTGCTGCCCAGGGGGCTCTCTTTAGGTCCGGATCTTACCTAAAAGGAAGGATGGCTCATCCAGGCCCAAGTGCTTGGGGGGGGTAGGGGGTGCCAAGGCAGAGGGGCCCGGGAAGAAGCGAAAGGCTCGTCTCTATGCACTCCTGAAGTGTCGTGGTTTGCTTCAGAGAGCCAGCTTTTGCAGAAGTTCCTTTTTCGCACTACACCTCCCAGAACCCTCCGCTGGCTGATCTATGAACCATACACAGTCTGGTCCCTTAACCCCACTAGGAGAGTGGCTAGAAATCTCCAAGGTGGGCATTATCTAGAACTAAAGATTTGCAAATGTGTTGTGTTTGTGTGTGTGTGTGTATGAGAGAGAGAGAGGCTACAGCTCCCCAAAACGGGGAATTGCTGTCCAGCCTCTGCCCACATCTGTCTGGAAATGTCGAGAGAGAGAGAGAGAGAGAGAGGCTACAGCTTCCCAAAATGGGGAATTGCTGTCCAGCCTCTGTCTGGAAATGTTCTGGCTCCTTGGCCACCCTGCCGGAAGGAGTGTGGTCTGTTGTCTTCTCGTGCTGCGTGGCGTTATGTCAGTCGCCACCTCCGCTCTCCAACCCCGGTGCTCTTTTTTTCTGCCAGGTTCGCAACTTGAAGCACTACAAGATTTTGGAGTACCTGCTCAAAGCCATGGAGTCATTTGACTCGAAGCAGCAGCAGCAACCGCCACAGCCGCAGGGAGAATCGGAACAGCAGGGGGAGCCGGAGAGCCGGTGAGTGTAGAAACCCTGCCTTCTTACCCTGGAATGGGGAGGAGCTGAATGGGAAGCTCCACCCACACGTAAACGTTTCTTTCGTCAGAAAGAAGGTCCTTCCATTCGGGAAGCAACGGGCCATTTGTCCCCCCCTCCCCCCATGGCTGACATCCTCAAAGTGGGGGACGGCTTCTCCCTGTGTTGATCGGGTGGCTCGTTTGGAGCGGGATGGGCTGTGCTTCTGGAAGACGCCACTTGGCTCGCTTGCTTAAGAGCTCTGTGACGGGTTGTCCTCCAGAGCGCAGATCCATTGCAGCACACTCAAGACCCGACGTATTTATTTAGGGGCGTGCGTTTTTGAGCAGCGCAACCTGCTAGAAGCAGTCAAGACCAAGACTGCCTTTCAATTCTCCTCCCCCTCTCTCCTCTGCAGATAAATATGTGTTTACGGCCCGCATCTGAAAAATGTGAATAGGAACAAAAATGGCCAAATAGATCTTGTTAGGTTTTTTTTAAGGTGCCGCGTGCCTCTCGGTGGGTTCTGCAGAGTGCTGTCCCTCTGGAAATGTCTTTTTAGCAGATCACAAGCACGCACGCACACACACACAGAGCCCTTCGCAATGAACAGCTCCGTTTCCTGTTTCTTCCTTTTCAGGTCTAGTCTTCTGAAGGCCCGGAAACAAGACGGTGGTCAAAGTTCGTCCAGCGAAGGGCCGTCCAGGGTGAAGAAGCGAAAGGTGAAAGAGGAGACGCTGGATTCCGACTAGCAACCCCTGTGCGCCTTCCCCTCCCCTCCTCCTTTGGCTAGTTGAGCCTTATTCCTCCCTTCTCGACCCCGATCCTTTCCCCTGTTCCACAGTATGTCTTTTTAAAGCAGTATTTACGGAATAAACATTCAGAAGAAGACGGCGACACTCAATGGCTGCAGAACACAGGGAAGTTAAATATTTTGGATGGCCGAACAGAAAAAAAGGCGAAAGGAAAAACTTCCAGGAGTTGCCGTCCAAACTACAGTGGTGCCTCGCTTAGCGATTGCTTCGTTTAACGATGTATTCGCTTTGCGATGGGTTTCTTTGAGGAATTTTCTGCATCGTTTAACGATGTTCTCTATGGGGGAATTTCACTTAACGATGTCCGTTTTTGCTCATTTAAACCTGTCTTAAAATGTTTGAAACCTGTTTTAAATGCTTGGAATCGGTAGTGCACCTTGTGAAACATGTGCAAACTTAATTTGGCTTTGTTCTGAGTCTTCGTTAATTTTTGGTGATTTTTTGTTTTTCTCTCATTGAAAAGCATTGCACTGAAGACTCAGAACAAAGCCAAATTAAGTTTGCACATGTTTCACAAGGTGCACTACCGATTCCAAGCATTTAAAACAGGTTTCAAACATTTTAAGACACTTAAAAATGAGCAAAAACGGACATCGGAAAGCCATTGAAATGCATTGAGTCAGCTTCAATGTATTTCAATAGCTTTCCGATGGGGGAAACATTGTTTCACTTAGCGATGTTTCCTATGGGGATTTTCGCTTAAGGACGGTAATCCGTTCCTATTGGAACGGATTAACCGGTTCTCAATGCATTCCTATGGGAAATGGTGTTTCACTTAACGATGTTTTCCCATAGCGATGTTTTTTTTGGAACCAATTAACATTGTTAAGCGAGGCACCACTGTAGTTAACTTTCCCGGTCCCTCTCCGGGGTCCAGAGGCAGCCCATTCCTGGCCGTGCAGCCATGGGGTGGAGAGGCTTTTTTGCCCTCCCGTCCGGCTTGCAGGTTTCTCTTCGAGAAACGCCCGCTTCTCTGTGGTTTGGGAGTGGGGAGAGAAATTCCGGCTTCTGGATCTTTCGAGGTTTCCCTGATCGCTGCTATTAGGGGAGGGGGCTGCTGTTTGCCAAGCCCCTCCCCGTCGGGGAGGCCAGCATTAAAAACCACAGAGGCCTTACCCTGCTTTTCCGAATGGAAACGGTCACTGCCAGTTTTCTCTTCCCCCACCCCTGGTTGATGGGATGGATGTGTTTTGGCGGCCAGCTGCTGAGCCAGGTACTCTCGGGCAGCGACCTGCTTTCCTCCCCACTGTCTTTTCCTGCAAGGGGGGGGGGGAACCAGGATAAAATTTAGAAGGAGAGACAAGAGAGGTGGTTTCCTACAAAGATCCACTTCCCAATCTCCTACGAATGGAAAAAAAAACCCAGCTGGCTTTGGCCTTGCAAGCAGAACAAGAAGGCAGCAACATCCCCCAGCTGTCAATACTTGGGGATAGACTGTTTGTGGACATGGAGGCTCCATTAGGTGTTACGAAATGGGCGAAGGGCTGTTCCGAGGCTGGTCCTTCAAGGCAGCCCCTCGTCCTTAATTTTTTTAAAGAACAAGCCGTCTTCCGCCCCTGATAAGAATTTTCTGTTATGTGAAGCTCCCCACCGCTCCTTCCCATCCCTTCTCTGCCGTGACTGGTCAGTATTCTGTCTCTTACATGTGGTAGCATGTGCAGGGAATTGGTTCCACACACACACACGGACACACACACACCCGTGGATGCCAAAAATGTGGAAATGGCGAACAACAAGCATAATGTGGTCCCTCCCTCTGTTTAGTGGCCAGTTCTGGTTAATAATGCATTTCCGAGGGTTTTGTATAGTATTTTCAATTCCCATTCAATTTAGATAACCCCCTACCTTGTGTATCCACCATCCCTCTTTTCCTACCCCTGATCATTGAATAATGTTTTGTATTACCTCCTCCAGTACTGTTGCTTCTTTTTGTAGCAAATCTTTTTACTGAATAAAGTCTACGGACATGTAATTGCTTAATATTCATGAGAAGAGCCTTTTGTGTTTATGAAAGGCAAGAGGTCCAGAGCTATTTTTAAAAAAACCCTTTTTTAGAGGGGGCTATAGTCAACTCTATGTCAAAGTTATGGTTTTTCCAGTAGCGGCGTATGGAAGTGAGAGCTGGACCCTAAAGAAAGCTGACCGGCAAAGAATCGATGCTTTTGAACTGTGGTGCTGGAGGAGACTCTTGAGAGTCCCCTGGACTGCAAGGAGAACAAACCTATCCATTTTGAAGGAAGTCAACCCTGAATGCTCACTGGAAGGACCGATCCTGAAGCTGAGGCTCCCATACTTTGGCCATCTCATGAGAAGAGAAGACTCCCCGGAAAAGATCCTGATGTTGGGAAAGTGTGAAGGCAAGAGGAGAAGGGGACAACAGAGGACAAGATGTGGCTGGACGGTCACTGAAGCTACAAACATGAATTTGACCAAACTCCAGGAGGCAGTGGAAGACAGGAGGGCCTGGCCTGCTCTGGTCCATAGCTCATGAAGAGTTGGATGTGACTTAACGACTGAACGACAACATGGCTATGTGATCACCCCCTTGTGTTTTTGCTTAATTGGATTCCCCCCCCTCCCGGGCAAAGTGGTCCTTTGGCTGGGGGCAGGAGCTGTTGCTTTTTCTAACCCGGGACCCAGGAAAGCTGCTCCCTGTCTGGTGTTTCGGGAATTCCTCTTCTCAGCCGGGTGGGGGCAGCAGCGCATCGGTGGAGGCGCCGGCTGGCCCTGTCGTTGCGCCATCCATTCAAGAGCAAAAAAATAGGACTCCCATGAATGAGAGACATAGCTTGGTGCTCAGGGCCGGGAGGGGAGGGGAGGGGGGAGAGGAGCAGTGAATCTGGGTTGGCTGAATGGAGAAGAACACAGCTTGCTTCTCTCTGTGCCAAGGCCCTCCGTCTCTCCCCCCCCCGCCCACTTTCCTGCCATATAATGGGAAGGGGGATGAGGCTTTTGGGCTTGAGCCCTCCCTTCCAGCAAGGTCAGATCAGAGGAAGCTTAAGGCTTTTGGGGGGGGGAGATGAGATGATGCATCCCTCTGCTTCAGTGGTGCCCCCCACCTCCATGCTGCCGCCGACGAGCCCTTCCCCAGTCTGTGATGTCACCATGTGGGAAATGGCAGCAGGGTGATGCTGGCAGCCGGGGCTCAGCTCCTTTTTCACTCTCTCCCCCCCCCACGCCAGTATCGAGGGCCTGCCAAGTTTCTTAGCAAATGGGCAAAGACGGGACCCCTGGAACGTCTCTCTCTGCCCTTCCTGCAACCTTGCACTAGCCCTCCGTGTGTGTGTATGTGTGTCCTGTCTCCTTTGAACTGGGATTTGCACTGGGGAGAGAATTGAGTTTCAGGGGGGTCAGAATTCGGCTTCTTGCATCCCATTCTCACCCCTCTCCGAAACTGGGATCCAAAGAATAATGGAGTGGAAGCATGAAGCGATCCTTAAAGTGAACGGTTCCTTCTGCCGCGGACTGGCACCTCAAGCTGTCCGAATCCCAGCACCGGGTTTGTCAAGAGTACAGCTAGGAAGAGGTCCCTAGGCGGAATACAAAACCCAGAATCCCCCAGGGCCTGACATCATACCCTCGGCTTGGAAGCATCATTTTTTAAAAAAACAAACCCATGCAGGTTTACAGGATTCTGGGATTTGGAGGCTACCAAAGAAACTTTTCCAGTTCCTTGTTATGAGTTTGGAATTTAGGAAATCGCATTCAAACTCCAGGACATTAAGTGCTCTGGAAGTTTGACTTTTTTAAAACCAGGCCTCTTGTCAGATGCAAGCTGTGTTCTGCAGCCAGTGTTTAATCTTGGTAGAGGATGCAGAAAACCCTGTTCCCTGCATCTTGGCGTTCCTTTAGTTTTAATCCTGTTTTCACAGGGGGGAAAGAGCACAAGTTTCTAGCTCTCATGCCTGCAAAGTTACAAGGGCTGGAATTCGGCATCCGCATCCGGGCCCTCAAGTCGATCAGAAGCTGCATTGCATAAGTCGAAAAACACACTAAATGTTTTTTTTTTTTAAATTGCTGCCTTTGTACCTCAAAAATGCCGGGTGTTGCGGGGAGACTTGGTCAAATTTTTGTTCTGTTTGTTGTCCCAAACGAATGGGAAAAGCTTTGCAGGCTGAGCAAAAGCTGGTCGTTGGGTTGTGCAGGAGGGGAGGTTTTCCATGGGTCTCCTGCTTCCAGGCCTGAAGGCTGTCTTGGGGCTGCCTAGGCAGGCGGAATATCAAACACCTTTTGCTCTAGCTGTGTTTCAAGCGGCTTGGGAAAAAAAGAGCTTCGAAAAGTGGGACAGGCCGACGTTTCTGTGAGGAGGATGCCACCCGCACCCAAAACCTGTGTGGCGTCGATGTGCGTGTCCTCCTTTGCACCCTTTCCTCCGCCTGCTTTTTTTAAAAAAATAAGGAAACCTGGTTTGCTTGTGTTTTTTTGCAAAAGTGCCATGAGGTTTCCAAGGGGATGCTTTCGTTCTGCAAAAAGACCGCCCCCCCTGGCAACGTCTGATGGACCTGGGGGGATGAAGAGAGAAAATACTGATGCATGCACATTTGTGCATAGGTACCCCTGACCCCCCCCCCCCTTTTTGTGGCTTGATGCTTTGTCTGCTTCCCAGCCTCCATGTCCCATCGCGTGCATGCTCTGAAGGACCGGCCAGAGGCCGCCTCTCCGGGCCTGCCCCCATCATCTTCCTCTTTCTGCCCACTTAAAAAAAAAAAAACAAAGGGCCAGGAAGACAGGCCGAGGTGGCCAGAGGCAATGGTGAAGTATTTATAGAAAGTGAGGAGGCTCTGCAGGCACTAGGCTGACAAGCCTGGGGAAGATTGGCACAGGGACACATGGGGGGGGGGAGGCTGAGCCATCCTGCCCAAGCCGCCACTGCCCTCCCTGAATGTCCAGATAATCCCACCCCACCCTGAGGAAAATCCCATAAGCTGCTACTGTGGCTGCCGTGGAGGGGGTGTGTGTGATGCTGCTGCGGGCGCCTGTCAGCTAAAGCATCTCTTCCTCTGTCCTTGCAGAAGGATTAGTCTGGCCACAGGGGGAGTTAACTCTTTCAGGGCCCCCCCGGACCCATTTTGTGGGCTGCCGGGGGTGCGGGGTGGTGGTGGTGGGGAGAAACAGCATCCTAAGGACCGGACTGGAAGCAGCGGGGCGCGCATGGCTTGAGCGCAAGGGGCTGCCATGATGTCGCTTGCCGAGTGACACCATGGATGGGGCCCTCATGGAGGAAGCATGGAGTCAGTGTTCTGAAAGATTG